TAATATATATATTATATATATATATACGAAAAGCAATCAGAGAGAGAGAGAGAAAGAAAAACAAATTCTGTATACACCTGCATAGCGATGCAGCCTTTACTCTCTCATCTCAAACCCTAAACACTAATAAACCCTAAACCCTAATAAACCCTAAACCCTACCTAATAAACCGTCAACCCGAATAAACCCTAAGTAAACCCTAAACGCTAAACCCTAACTAAAAACCGCAACCCCTAATAAACCCTCAAGAATTATAAACCCTAATTAAAACCCTAAACCCTCAGCCTGCGGATTGCGAGTTTGTCTGCTGCGAACAAAAAAAAATGAATGCAGCAGAGTTTCTTTCTTTGCCGCTATTTTATCTTTAAGGCTCTCCTTACGCCTGTCTATTTGTTTCTATATATATAATATATATATATGTATTATATATATTATATAATATATATATATATATTATATAATATATATATTATATATAATATGTACAATAGTATTGTATTTATACATTATTGTATATATATATTATATATATATTATATAGGACTTGTATTATTTTATCTGTATTATTATATTTGTTATTTGACATTTAATTAATTCAAACCGCCAATTCTTTATTTACATTTTTATAAAAAAATAAATTACGAACGAATTCAGATGAGGGGTACTAAGACTCGTTCAGGTGTATATACACCTTAAATATATATAAATTCTACTTCAGGTGTATATACACCTTAAATAGATATAAATTCTAAGTCATGTGTATATACATCTTTAGGTGTACGTACACCTCAATTTATATATAAGGTCCGCATTAGGTAGAAAAAAATATTAAATAATTCAGGTGTATGTACACTTCAAGCAGAAAGTATTATTCTTCTTAGTTAGATAGATATTAATTCAGGTGCATGTACACCTCAAATAGAAATAAATAAATATTAATTTATGTATTTATTCAGGTGTACATACACCTGAATAAAGAGGGACAGTTTTATAGTAAATGAACGAATATCATAACTAAAAATATTTTATTTCTTTTTCTTTATAAATAGCCGCTCTATTCGTTCAAATGTCTGCATGCATGCAGCGCATAAAACGAAAAATATAAACAAAATAAATAACTAAAAGTAAAATAAACAAACAGTTAGGTCAAACAACTGCAGCAGCAACAGCACCAGCAACAACAGCAACAGCAACAGCAGCAGCAGCAACAGCAGCAGCAACACCACCAGCAGCAACAGCAACGGCACAAACAGCAGCAACAGCACAAACAGCAGCAGCAACACCACCACCAGCAGCAACAGTAGCAGCAGCAGCAACACCACCACCAGCAGCAGCAACAGCAACAGCAGCAACAGCAGCAACAGCAGAAACAGCAGCAACAGCAGAAACAGCAGCAGCAGCAGCAGCAGCAGTTTGAATATACCTGTGTGGTCGAGGTTTGTATTTGTTCTTTGATGAAGAAGAGCACAGAAGCAGATAAAACAGTCTTCACCAGCTGCAGCGTAAACCCTTTATACAAACCCCTAAACCCTTCTTGCATCAACGAAGACACCAACACAGCAACCACTCCGTTCTCTTCTACCTAAATAGCAGCAGCAGCAGCAACAGCAGCAGCAGCAGCAGCAGCAACAGCAGCAGCAACAACAGCAGCGGAAAACGGCAGCAGCAGCAGCGGCAGAAAACGGCAGCAACAGAAACAACAGCAGCAGCAGCAACAGCAGCAGCAGCAACAGCAGCAGCAACAGTAGCAGCAACAGAAGCGGATATATATATATATATAATATATAGATAAACATTTAATAATTATATATATGCATATATTTTTATTATTACATTTCTAAGGACGCTGAGTGCAGCGCAGCAAAATTAATTTTTTATTCACATATTTTATCTGCACTCTTTAAAATAAAACAAATATTCACTTATTTACTCGTTTGCTGCTGCTGTTTGCTGCTGCTGTTTGCTGCTGCTGTTTGCTGCTGCTGTTTGCTGCTGCTGATTGTTGCGTTATTCTGGTAGTCTTTGTGTTGTGCTGCTGCTGTTTGCTGCTGCTGTGTGCTGCTGCTCTTTTGCTCTGCTGCTGCTATTTCGTGTGGTTTGCTGCACCTCTTCTCTTGATTGCCTTAATTTACTTGAGAGTGCTTCAGGAACGCAACTCCATCTCTCCGCAGTGGTGGGTTTGCTGCTGCTGCTGCTGCTGCTGCTGCAGCTGCCGCTGCAGCTGCTGCTGCAGCTGCTGCCGTTGCAGCAGCAACTGCTGCTGCTCGTGTTGCTGCTGCATGTACACACACCACCGCCCTGCTGCATGCACACCCACGCAGAAACGGCATTCTTCATGCAGCTTTTGGACCTGCTGCTGCTGCTGCTGCTGCAGTCGTTGCTGCAGCAGCTGTTGCTGCGCCAACACCGACCTAACCAACCAAAACCCTAAACCCTAAACCCTAAACCCTAGACCCCAGACCTTGAGTAAACATAACTTCATAGCTGCATAGACAAGACCGACGGGAGGCAGAAAGAATGAAGCAGCAAGAGCAGCAGCAGCAGCAGCAGCAGCACACCACCGCATGCTCCTCACACCCTATCTATTTGCATGTGGTGTATTTGAGGTGTATGTACACCGCAAAGCAGAAACCAACACACAGAAATATACAGCAGCATCTTCATCAAAAAGTTGTTCAGGTGTATAGGCACCTCCACGACAAAACCAGCTGCATGTACACCCAAATAAATAATTAAATTTAAAATTAAAATTTATATTTTGCTGCACCTCGCTGCACTCCGACAGACAGAAAGAAGCTGGCTTAGCAAGGGCCTGCACAACAAAACAAAACCCTAAACCCTAAACCCTAAACCCTAAACTCTACTCCTTAAACCCTAAACCCTAAACCCCCTAAATACTACAACCTTAATCCGATACCCCCACACAGTAAACTCTAAACTCTAACCCCTAAACCCTAAATCCTAAACCCTAAACCCTAGACCCTACCACCCCTCATAGGAAGGGACCAGCACAGCTCTGACCGGCGTGCATTTCTAGCTGCCTATACACCCCAGCAGCAGCAGCAGCAGCAGCAGCAGCAGCAAGTTCACCTCATCGTAGAGATCAGCAGCAGCAGGAGAAGCAGCATATTGCTGCATCTGCAGCTCCTTGTCTAATGCAGAGTGTAAGGACAACGCACGCGGGAAATGCGGTGCGAGCAGCTGCTGCTGCTGCAGCAGCAACTGCTGCTGTTGCTGCTGCTGCAGCTGCTGCTGTAGCTGCTGCTGCTGCTGCTGCTGCAGCTGGGGCCCCACAGACCCTGCGCGCTGCATCTCCCTGTTGCTGCTGCTGCTGCTGCTGCTGCTGCTGCATTCATGTTCAGAATAAGCGAACAGCCCTCTGCGCAGAGGCGCTGAAGAAGACCCCGTGTCCCCAGATATCAAGGCAAGTCTGGCAGCAGCAGCAGCAGCAGCAGCAGCAGCAGAAGCAGAAGCAGCAGCAACAGCAGCACCACAAACAACAGAAGGGTTTGCTTCTTCATTGCTGCGGTACCCGAGTAGCAGCAGCATTCAACCCGAGAGGCAGCGCCTGCTGCTGCAGCTCCCAAAGGAGCAGCAAAAATGACAAGCAGCAACTGCAGCAGCAAGTGCAGCAGCAAGTGCAGCAGTATGTGCAGCAGCAATTGCAGCGGCATCTGTAGCATCACGTGCAGCAGCATGTGCAGCAGAAACTGGAACAGCAGCAGCAGCAGCGGCGGCAGCAACATCAGTAGCAGCAGCAGCAGCAAACCCAGCAGCAAGGCAGCAGCAACTTCAGCATTGCTGCTCACTGCTGCTGCTGCTGCCCCTCAAAGGATTCATGACACCCAGCAGAACGCTCCAAAAGCCGCGCTTGCAGCAGCACCTGATCCGCAAACCCTAAACCCTAAACCCTAAACCCTAAACCCTATGCCCAGACTAAACTGGCAGCCTAGTTTGAGGCAGCGGGTCCTAGCGTTCTACGGTCTTTTTAATGATACGGCGACCACCGAGATCTACACTCTTTCCCTACACGACGCTCTTCCGATCTTTTTATGGTTTATGGTTTAGGGTTTAGGGTTTAGGGTTTAAGGTATTTTAATGATACGGCGACCACCGAGATCTACACTCTTTCCCTACACGACGCTCTTCCGATCTGGTTTAGGGTTTAGGGTTTAGGGTTTAGGGTTTAGGGTTTAGGGTTTAGGGTTTAGGGTTTAGGACCTTGGCTCTTATATAGGGGTAGGTGGCGAGGGTTGCGAGGGCCTTCGAAATGGCGCCCAGCACAAAACTTTGAATGCCGGTGAGGGGGGGAAGAGAAGACTGAATTGCAGTGTACAGACACCTCAACATGCATGCACTGCAGTGTACATACACCTCAGCATGCATGCACTGCAGTGTACATACACCTCAACTTGCATGCACTGCAGTGTATCTACACCTCAGGTGCAGCAGAAGCAGCAGCAGCAGCAGCAGCAATAGCAGCAGAAGCAGCAGCAACAGAGCACAGTTGTTGTATGCAATCTAAGTAATCCCCCCTAAGCCTGCTGCTGCTGCTGCTGCTGCTGCGCAGCGCCGACTGCACCCATAAGCGCATGAGGCTGAGTTCTTAGGTTTTAGGGTTTAGGGTTTAGAGTTTAAGGTTTAGCATTTAGCTTTTAGCGTTTAGCGTTTAGAGTTCAATGTCACGGTTTAGAGTTTAGGGTTTAGAGTACAGTGCTAGCGTTTAGGGTTTAGGGTCTAGGGGCTAGGGTGTAGGGTTTAGGGTTTAAAGCCTAGGGTTTAGGGTTTAGGGTTTAGGGTTTAGGGTTTAGGGGACCCCTATGCGTTCAATAGGTGCGTCTGGGTCGGTGATCGGATCCATGAAACTCCGCTCGCGCAGCAAATTCACCATCTGCAGCCACAACCTGCACCAGCAGCAGCCACAGCAGCAGCAGCAGCAACAGGAGCAGCAGCAGCAACAGTAGCAGCAGCAGCAGCAACAACAGCAGCAACAGCAGCAGCAGTAGGACAGACATGAGGCCCTAATGAGCAGCAGGACGATAAGCTGCACTAGGCATTGCCTTGAAGGCAGGATTGCTGCTGCTGGTGCTCCTGCTGCTGCTGCTGCTCGTGCTGCTGCTGCTGCTGCTGCTGCTCGTGTTGCTGCTGCTGCTGCTGCAGTTACTTGAGGTTATCGAATGTAGCATTTGTGATTGCAGGATTTGCACAGAGGCAAAGAGAGGCCCCAAACCCTCGGTAAAAACCCGACACCCCTGCACATCAGCAGCAGCAGCAGCAGCAGCAGCAGCAGCAGCAAAATGAGCAGCAGCAGCCGCAGCAACAGCAGCAGCAGAAGCAACAACAACAGCAGCAGCAGCAGAAGCATCAGCAGCACCATGAGCAGCAGCAGCAGCAGCAGCAGTAGCATGAGCAGCAGCAGCACCATGAGCAGAAGCAGCATCATGAGCAGCAGCAGCATTATAAGCAGCAGCAACAGCAGCAGCATCATGAGCAGCAGCAGCAGCAGCATGAGCAGCAGCAGCAGCAGCAGGAGTGTTTGAATTGCCTTCTGTTTTGAGTATGCGGAAGAAGATATGCCGTATGGGTTCACTGGACAGCTGTGCATGCGTGCTGCTGACATCGAGAGGAGCAGTCAGCAGCTGCGTTGCTGCTGCAGCAGCAGCAGCAGATTTAAGGGGCCCCCAGCGACTCCCGCGAGACCCCAGACGTCCCTGCAGCAGCTGATAGCTGCACAACACGCACAGCAGCAGCAAATGCAGCAGCACCTGTTGCTGCTTCTGATGCTTCTGATGCTTCGGCTGCTGCTGTTGCTGCTGCTAATGCTGTTTCTGCCCCCGTTGCTGCTGCTGCTGCTGCTGCTGCTTCTGATGCGGCTGAAGCTGCTGACGATGCTGTTTAAAATGCATAGATTTATAGATTTGTTGAAGCATGCATTTATATATATTCAGAATAATAAATATTAATTAAAATATATTTATATAAATATATAATTAATTTGCTTACAGATAAAAATACACAAAATTTCTCACAACCTGCTCCAGCAGTTTTATATAAAGTCCACTGTATAGACGGCTGATGCGACGAAGCAGCAGAGTTGTTCTGTCTTTGCTGCTGCTGCTGCTGTTGCTGCTGCTGCTGCTGCTGCTGCTGCTGCTGCTGGATGTGGGGGAGACTGCGTCTTCCTGGTGCAGCAATTCATGCAGCACATCAAGGAGGGCCTGCAGCGGGTTGTGTTGCTGCTGCTGCTGCTGCTGCTGCGGCAGCTTTTCTTTTTGTTTTGTTGCTGCTGCTTGGTGGTGCACCAATAATGTATCTAAAGGAAACACAATTAGAGTTGAAGCGCATGCAGCTAGCGCTGCGCTCGTAGCTGCAGCAAGAGATTTACTCATTATCCTAACTCAAGATGCTGCTGCTGCAGCTGCTGCTGCTGTGGCTGTTGCTGCTGCTGCTGTGGCTGCTGCTGCTGCTGTGGCTGCGGCTTTGACAAACCAACTACAGCTGCTGCGGCAAGACCTAGACTGCAGGTTGTGCAGCAGTTGCTGTGGGGCTGCTGCTGCTGGGGCTGCTGCTGCTGGGGACGCCGCTGCTGGGACTGCTGCTGCTGCTGCTGCTGCTAGCGAGGGGTGCGCTGCCGTTGCTGCTGCAGTCGGTACTCCTGGCACAGTACTGTGAGGGAAAGAGGGTCCCCACAGGGCCAGAAGCAGCAGCACATGCAGCAGCAACAGCAGCAGCAGCAACAGCAGCAGCAGCAACAGGAGCAGCAGGGACTGCGGTGTGTCCTTTGTTTAAGGTCTACGCCTTTGGTGTCTTTAGGCCCATCCAAAGACGCAGAACATTGAGGTGTATGTGCAGATGCATTTGCTGCTGAGGGAAGCAGCAAACTGCTGCTGCTCGCTGCTGCAGCGTTTGCTGCACACGGAGAGACGCGACAAGACGTATTACTATGAAATTTGTGTTAAAAAACAATAAACACTATTCATTTGTTTCATTTATTATTTTTTATTGTCATTATTAATTTAATTTTGTTTTTTTCTGCATCTCTTCTCTGCAAGAGCAGCCCCGGGGTAGCCGATGGTCCTCCTGAAACCAACCGGTCTGGTAGTAGAAAAATACGTTTAAAAATGATAAAACTTGCATCAAATTTGTTGTAATTTTATTTTAATTTTATTTTAATTATTTTTATTTTGTTTTTAATTTCTTTTTGCCCTTTTCCCCGCTCTTTTTATTCAATAAATTCACCATGTACACTCCAACGCGGTCACCAGTGCGGATGTGCACGAAGGCGATGAGCATTGAGGCGTGCATACACCGCAATTATCAGCAGAATAAACTAAATTAAATGTTTATATTTATTTATTTATATTTTAAACTACATTAACAGCAAAGAGAGACACCTAAATGCAAAACTCACACGCAGACACGCCGCTGCAGCGGCCGCAGACGAAGCAGCAGCAGCAGCAGCAGCAGAAGTAAAATTACAAGGCGGGGCCCCTCAACAGCAGCTGAAGTTTTTGTCTTTTCTCTATCCAGAAGATTACGGGTCCCCAGTTGTTGCTGCAGCAGCTTTGGGGGCTCAACACCTAACTGCGGTATGCAGTTATTAGACGTTACGCCTCCTAACAAACCCTAAATAAACCCTAAACCCTAAACCCTAAACGCCAACTGCAGCCCTTTAGATCCCCGGCAACGCTGAGTATTTGCATACCCAAAGAGGTATGTCTGTTGACTTCCTCTTTCATGCCTTTGTTTAAACGCCCAGTGTCTCCACTTGTCTTTAAAATAACTCAGCAAGGGAGGTCACAGGGGCCCTCATCTAGCAAGCCAGCTAGCTAGCCAGCTAGCTAGCTAGCTAGCTAGCTAGCCAGGGGCTCTTATCTATCTATCTAGCTAGCTAGCTTCTGGCTAGCTAGCTAGCTGGATAAAAGATTAAGCGGTTAGCTAGCCATCTGTGGACCGAGCTAGCTAGCTGGCTAGCTAGCCAGATGGGGGCCCATCTAGCTAGCTAGCTGAGTAGCTAGCTGGGTACTCGCCCGGCTAGCTAGTTGGGTGGCTAGCTAGTTAGCTAGCTAGCTCAAAGGGGGCTTAAATGAACAGCTAGCTAGCTAGCTAGCTATACAATTATTAAAGGCAGCTAGCTAGCCTCTAGCTCTTCAAAGAGATCTCCAAAGAGCTGAGCAGCAAGCCTAGAAGGAGTAGCCAGACAGCTGCTGCTAATGTACAAACCTTCAACGGGGGGCCCCCCATCAGGGGCCCCCCTGTCAATTGCCTTTGCCTCTATAGGAGACAGACCTCCTAATATAAATACAACAAGAGACAGCTTCCGTTGCTGCTGCTGCGGTGTCTCCTTTGCAGCTCCAGCAGCAGCAGCTGCTGCAGCAGCAGCTCGACCCTTAGCAGCGCCCCACAGATAATTTACCGTGCTGCACGCAGCAGCAGCAGCAGCAGCAGCAGGTTCAGTAAGAGCAGCAACGGTCAAGGCAGCAACAAAAGGTGCAGCAGCAGCAACACGAAAACAGCAGCAGCAGCAGCAGCAACGGCAGCAGCAGCAGTGGCAGGTAGGGGAGACAGAGCGCCCGTTGCTTTGGCTAAACCCTAAAACCCTAAACCCTAAACCCTATTCGGGGGACCTCAGCTGACTGGGGGCCCTTCTATTGGCTTAACCCTAAACCCTAAACCCTAAACCCTAAACCCTAAGTCGTGCTGCTTGGTTTGCAGCCGCCCACACCTAAAGAACCTAACCCTTAGAGCTGTTCGTGCTACTGCTATTGCAACAACAGCAGCAGCTGCTGCAGCTGCTGCTGCTGCTGTTGTTGCTGCTGCAGCTGTATATACCTTACCTGATACCTGTCTTTATTAGCCCCTCAATAGAGGGCCCCTCAGCTAGCGGTGCTGCAGCAAATGTCTTTAAATCTTCGCAGCTATTAATCGACTTGCAAATCTTCAGAAAATAAGGGGCCCCCTGGGGGGCCCCTATGATGTCAGCAGATTGATTGAGGTGTATAGGCAGCAGAGCAGGAAAGACAGGTAAACTTCTGAATAAAAAATCAAATAATACAGATATTAAACAGAGACAGATAACAAATATATCAGCACCAAAATGCAATAGAAGGGAGGCATTAGGGTTTAGGGTTTAGGGTTTAGGGTTTATCGTTTAGGGCATAGGAAATAGGGGTAAAGCTGTAGGAGTTAACGCTTAGGGTTTAGGGTTTAGGGTTTAGGGTTTAGGGTTTAGAGACAACCCTCACTGATCAACTTGGAGATTCGCTCGCGCCTGCTGAATGCACCAAAGACGTCGGGCAATGGCCTGAGATATGTTGCTGCTGCTGCTGCTGCTGCTGCTGTTGCTGCTGCTGTTGTTGTTTGTACGATGTGCTGCAATGGTTTCTTCAAGGAGACACTCCCAGCAGCTGCAGCGTCTGCTGCTGCTGCTGTTGCTGCTGCTGCTGCTGTCGTGTTTGGTGCAGCAGGAAGGCGCGAATGGAGCATCGGGCCCCTGCAGCAACAGCAGCAACAGCAGCAACAGCAACAGCAGCAGCAACAGCAACAGCAGCAGCAACAGCAAGAGCAGTGAAAATCAAGAATAAACAAACAAATGGAGTAAATACACATACCAAAGAAAGAACACAAAGGAGGGTAAAGGAGACAAACAAACAAATAAAATAAACAAACAAACAAAACAAACAAACAAAATAAACAAAATAAACAAATAAAACAAGATAAATAAACAACACAAACAAAATAAGCAAGCAAAATAAACAAAAATAAACAAATAAATAAACAAATAAATAAATAAATAAATAAATAAATAAATAAAATAAACAAATAAAGAAACAACTAAAAGGAGACAGACAGGGACAGAGACAGACAGAGACAGACAGAGATAAATGCAGCAAATAAAATAAAAATAAAAATTATAAATAAAACAAACAAAACAATAAAAACAAAATACAAACGAAGTACAGCAGCAGAGGCCCTCGCTGCAGCAATCAGCAGAGACGAAAGCAGCGCTGCAGCAAACAAACAAACAAACAAATAAATAAATCAATAAATTAACTAATTAATTAATTAACAAAGCTATAACACAAACAAATAAATAAATAAGTACAAATACAAACAAGTAAATGCATAAATAAATAAATAAATCAGCGAGCAAAAAATAAAGTTTTAAACAAATAAATAAACAAATAAACAAACAAATAAACAAATAAATAAATAAACAAAACAAACAAATAAATAAATAAAACCCAAGACAAATATACATATAAACAAATAAACAGGTGTATAAATGAATAAACAAATATACAAACAAGCATATAAATAAACAAATAAATATAACAAATAAATAAATAAGTTAATTAATTAATTAATTAATTAATTAATTAATTAATTAATTAATTAATTATAAACAAATAGACTTACCCTGAATCCCCGATTTTTTCATCGCTATCTCTTGCAGCTAAAAACACAAAAATAAAATAAATAAAATAAATAAAATAAATAAAATAAAATAAATAAATAAATTAATTAATGCATAAATAAATCAATAAATAACATGTAAATTATATTTTATTTATTTATCTATTTATATTAAATTTATTTATTTATTTACGGGTAAATAAATAAAATAAATAAAACAAACAAAACAAATAAAATAAATAAAATAGACAATACAGATACTATTTAAATAAATAAATAAATGATAAATAAATAAATAAATTAAATAAATAAAATAAATAAAATAAATAAACGACAGATATAAAAAGCAGGAAATGCATAAAGACAGATAACAACAGACAAACAACAATAACAAACAAAGACAATACACAAACAAACAAATAAATAAATAAATAAATGATAAATAAATAAATAAATAAATATATAAAAAATAAATAAAATAAATAAACAACAGAGCAAACTAACAAAGTAAACGGAGACAACTGAATAAAACAAACAAACAAGCAAACAAATAAAATAAACAAATAAATAAATAAAATAAATAAATAAATAATAAATAAATGAATAAACAAATAAATAAATAATAAATAAAGACAGAAAAACAAATAAGATGAGTCACCGAAGATATGGGGTCAGCCGCAAGAAGAGGCGGCAGCAGCAGCTCCTCTATACACTCCAGCAAACTAAACAGAGTCAACCGAGTCTGCAGCAGCAGCAGCAGCAACAGCAGCAGCAGCAAACGAAAAGCTGTAGCAGCAGCAGCAGCAGCAAGAGCAGCAGCA